TCAGTTAATGTAGAGGATTTTGTTTTCTACCGAATACGAGAGAAATTTTTTATTCTGATTTCAAATTCCTTGGCATAGATCTTTTGGCTTGTCAAACACAAATTAACCCCCGAAGTAGTTAAAATTTGCATTTAAATTGTTAAAAGTTCCCTGACTAAAAATAATTTTTCTAAAAAAATTGTAACCGATAGTAGCCAATTGAATTTATATAAAAGTGTCGATAGTCATACGATCACGCATGAATTCATCATATGTTTCATTAATTAATCATACTTATTAAAACTGTTTTTCGGAGTAAAAAAAAAATCAATATTTCATGGAAAAAAATCAAAGAAAAATAGCTTGTCAAAAACAAGAATTCGAATTCATATGATCACACATGCTAAGTATGAAGTGATAAATTCAACGACCAAAGGAATTCATATGGGAATTCATATGATCACACATGCAAAGTATGAAGTGATAAATTTAACGACCAAAGCCTTGTTTATCTTTATTCAATCATCAACGAAAGATTTATTAAATCTTTTATTTAAAAATTCAAGTGTAAAGAAATAAGGAATCCGATAGGCAACGAAAATAATTAGAAAAATCAAAACCTACAAAAGGATAGTATACAACTTTCCTCCAATGACTGCACCATTCATTCGTTACTTTCTATGGATGCAAATGCATGTAAGGCTAAAATTCTTGTTAACTGAAATATAAATTTTAAGAAAAAAAAGAAAGAAAAATAAAAGTGATGACAGCGGGAAGGCTGTGAACAGAAGTGACGGAAGCAGTGAAGATTCTCCTGCTCAGATAGCCAGATTTCATGGCATTGCAAAAGGCCAAACAAACAGCAAAGTTTTAAGGTCTGGAGAGGCTTAACTCCTACTTTTACTTGAACCTCCAAAAATGTGTGCTTAGACTTGCCCTCCCACTCATCCTTTCATGCCATACCAATCCTTTTCTTCTCATCCAGTACTTGTTTCCATCCCTCACAACACTGAAACTAACTTTTCCTTTTCGCGGAACTCAGACAACCGACAAATGTATGATTTCACGATTTTTTTTTTCGTAAATTTCTCGAACAGATCAAGAACGCATGCAAGACACCTCAAACGATTGAGAAAAGTGATTACTAAATACTAACACGCAAGAAGCGTACCTGAATCCTCACTGAACGCCGTAGAACCTACAGAGACCGTAGTCGTCACTATTCGAACCATCAGGCAGTGGTTCCACCAAATCTAAAGCGAAATGAGTCGCAATAGGCTATTCTACGACGAGGACTTGATTTAGAGAGGACATTATAGAATAGGAGAAATGTGGAAGATCGAACCGATCTCTAGGAATAGATTAGAGAGAAAGAGGAAATAGACAACTCTCCGACTCTTCCTTTCATGTCATGCCTATCCTTTTCTGCTCGTCCACTCCTTGTTTCCGTCCCTCGACACTCAAACTAACTTTTCCTTGTCGCATTGGAACTCGGACAAAACCGACAGAAGTATGATTTCACGTTTTTTCTTTACGTAAATTTCTCGATCAGTTCCAGAGCGTATGGAAAACGCCTCAAACGACCGACAAAAGTAATTCACTAAATACTACCACGCGAGAAGCGTAGCTGAAATCCTCCCTGAACGCCGGAGAACCTACATAGACCGTAATCGTCACTATTCGCACAATCAGGCAGTGGTTCCACCAAAACTCAAGCGAAATTAGTAATAGGCTATTTTACGACGACGAAGACTCCATCTAGAGAGAACACTATAGAATAGGAGAAATGTGGAAGATCCAACCGACCTCTAGGAATAGATTAGAGAGAAAAAGGAAATAGACAACTCTCCGACTCTTCCTTTCATGTCATGCCTATCCTTTTCTGCTCGTCCACTCCTTGTTTCCATCCCTCACAACACTGAAACTAACTTTTCCTTGTCGCATTGGAACTCGGACACAACCGACAAAAGTATGATTTCACGTTTTTTCTATCCGTAAATTTCTCGATCAGTTCCAGAACGTATGGAAAACGCCTCAGACGATCGAGAAAAGTAATCACTAAATACTAACACGCGAGAAGCGTACCTGAAATCCTCGCTGAACGCAGGAGAACCTACAGAGACCGTAGTCGTCACTATTCGCACAATCAGGCGGTAGTTCCACCAAAACTGAAGCAAAATGAGCAACAATTCTATACGACGACCAGGACACGATCTAGAGAGAACACTATAGAGTAGGAGAAATGTGGAAGATCGAACCGATCTCTAGGAATAGATTAGAGAGAAATGAAACAGACAGCCCTCCGACTCTTCCTTTCATGTCACGCCTATTGTTATCTGTCTGTTCATCCACTCCTTGTTTCCATCCCTCACAACACTGTAACTAACTTTTCCTTTTCGCATAGGAACTCAGAAACAACCACTAAAAGTACGATTTCATGATTTTTTATTTTCATAAATTTTCCGATCAGTTCCAAAACATATGTAAAACGCCTCAAACCTATCGATAAAAGTAATTACTAAATACTAATACGTGAGAAGCGTACCTGTAAACCTCGTCAATCGCCGAAAAACCTACAGAGATCGTCGATCGCGGTGGTTCCAGCAGAACTGAAACGAAATGAGCCGCAATCGTCTGTTCTACGACGACGAGTACTCGATCTATATACAACATTATAGAAGTGACGAAATGCAAAAGATCGAACCGATCTCTCGGTATTGGAGGGAAAAAGAAAATGGATCACTCATCAGTGAAAGATAGAGAGAAGAGATGGACGAGGAAGGGAAAACAAAACGTATGTAGTAAGTACAACCAAAATGAGCAAGGATTCGAAATTCGACCTTTTATATTTTTCAAAAATCAATTAAAAATAAATAAAATTAAATTATCATATCACTAAATGACGTGTAAGACTGTAAGAGGAGAAAAAAAGGAAAGTAAAAAAGACTTCGAAACAAATTAGTTATAAAAACCCTAAACATGGAAATTCTGCAAATCTTTTCGCATTCAAATGTTTGGAGGACAGGGAAACCGTCTCACGAGAACATAAATATTAAAAAAACAAAATTAATAAAAAAAATCCAAAAAGTTCTAATAATGTGCCCTCAGAAAATTACGACATTTGTTCGTTTGTGCACTAAAAAAAAATGAAAACATATAAATTACGAAATTTAAAAATCATCAAAATTACCTAAAAAAAATTAATTTCGAGATTTTGTACCTAATAAAGAGATTTTAACCCCAAACACTCTCCATATACGATTTAGTTGCCATTTTCACCTTCTTCAGTTCATAAACCATAAATAATATCATTTCCATGCAAAAAGAAACCACAAAAAATTAAAGAAATTTTTTAATAAATAAATAAAGATATCAAAGACAACAACTAAAAAAGAATGGAAGCAAGGCAGCAAGCAATAATTTATTATACAATCCAAATTATTTTTCAAAAAAATTAAAAAAAAAAACTAAAAAGGATAATGATTGGCTGAAACCAGAAATTGTGGTGAATAATGGCAGTATTTTATGCATCTAAAAGAAACAAAAGGTGGAACTAACCACTAACATATTAAATCCAAAAGAGACAAAGGGGCAAAAAAAACAGCAGAAATCCGTATACTTATCTTTGGTTATGGAGGGAGCTTTGAATCCCTAAATTCCTTACAGTTGCCTGGCAGTGCCCACGCTATGCTCGTATACGGACACAGCAATCTGAATTTGCAGTTCTGGAAACGTAAATATTGTTCCAAAAGCCATAAATAATGCAATAAATATTTGAGAAGACATCTATGGAGACAGTCTAACCACTTCTTAGCACATATAATGCAAGCATTCAATGTCAGTATTCAAAGCCCGGCAAGGTGCCTTAAACAACTACAATAATTCAACATCTTAGGTTATCATCAGCAACGAGGAAAAGCATTCGTTCAAACAACCCACATGCAAAATCCTTTAGAACAGAAACGAATTCGGTGTCTAGACGACCAACTAAAACGTGAATCGGTGTTCGAAAAATGGTGGTTCCAAGACTTAGATTCTAAAGAGGAGAAGGAAAAAACATAGATCTCAAAAAGAAGGAAGAATATAGATGTCAAGCCAGTGGACTAAAAGAAGTGGAACAGTATAACGGACCAAACTCACTGTTAGCAAATGTTGTCCGTTTTTGCCCGTTACGTATTGTCATTAGCCTCACGGTTTTAAACCGTGTCTACTACAGAGAGGTCTAACCTTACTCCGTCAATTGTCTCGCACCATCCGATGACTAGCTCTGATGACATTTGTAACAGCCCAAGCCCACCGCTAGTAGATATTATCCGAATTTAGGCATTCACTTTAGAGCTTCCCCTCAAGGTCTTAAAATGCATTTACCGGGAGAGGCTTCCACATCCTTTTCGTTCCTCTCTCTACACTGATCTAAGGAATGCTACGTTCCTCTATCCAAAAGATGTGGATCTCACAATCAGTAAAGTGACAAAGACATCGTTCTTAATGTTCTCATTTTCTCAAGCTTATGATTGCTGACACCTCAGCAGCCTATGAAACCAAAGACTTAAATCCAGTACCTAACAATGAAATTCAGCATTTGCAGCTCACTTGAACTAGCAGTCTTTCATAAAGAACAAAACTCAACCAAATAGAAAAGGGCCAAACTAGTTAGGAATATATGTCCATACCCATCAAGAGAAAACAAGAACTTTGTCAGTCACATGGCGAACAGTAAGCGCACACAAGACAAGCATGAACAAAAGAGATAAGGTGGCTCACGTCCCTATGATCATCACAACTGATTTTAATATTAAACTAATGAACAGCTACCGCTGTAGATTTAGCCAAGAGAACAAGAATTGCTAATCAAGAAAAGAATCAAGAGGGGCATAGAAAAATCGAGGCACTGTAACGGGAAGCATTCAGGCAGTCAATACCTATGATAATGAGATTATAATCAAGAACAGAAACCAACAAATTTGCATCAAGCACAAAAAAATAATAGAATAAATAATTGAGAGATCAATAATGGAAGCTGAAAGATCAATGGCATGAAAAGAGTTGAATATTGAGTAAGGAGAATATGTTGAAAGAAGTGAGATATACACAATCTGAATCAGTCCAAGAAGATTTTGAGACATAAATAAATTGGATTCAAGGGAAAATTGGGTTAGTAGAAAAGGAAGAAGAGTCCGATGAGATTACACAGTTGCAGATCCTTGGCTGCCGATTGATTCTGGGAAGAACCTTGAACCGTTAAGAAAATTAGAATAAAATATATCAGCGGATTTGATTACCATAGTTTGAACCACCGAGAAAACCTGGAGCACCACCATTGCCGGAGGCGGCCGCGTTGTAAACATCCGATGGATCGACAAACGGAGCAGAAGAAGAACCATTCCGATTATTTCTGCTTCCACCGCCGCCGTCGCTCAAATTCAGTTCCGATACATTAGGAAAGCCATCTCCGGCTTCAACGCCTTGATCGTACAAAAATCCTTTGAAAACATGGCCCCCGATCTTCACGACTGCTTGATACGCGTACTCATCCTCGCCGTCATCCACCGCCGTCACTCTCACGCACTTGAAAACCGCCGGTGCACGTATTTGGCCTGGTAATTCCTCTTTAAATCCTGCATCTGAACCAAACGATTCGACGAATAAAAAAATACCCGTAGTTTATGGGGGGAAAACGCCGAAAAACAAGGAACCCTAAATTTTGGGGCAATTATTCTTACCTTGATGACTGGAGCTCGTGTCGATGCTTCCTGGAGGAGTGGTGTTGGATGTGGAAGTGTGAGAAGTGGTTTGCGAGGCTATAAGCCTCGGTTTCTTTGTGCCGGAGGCGGAACCTGAAGAGCCGTCTGCGGCGGTTCCGGTGATGGCCATGAGCTGTCGCTCTCTCCGACGGGCTGCAGGAACCCACGTGCTCTTCACGTGAGTCGCGCAATCGAACCCTCGGCTTCGACAACAAGTTCTGCAGCGTCCACGACTACAATCTTTCTTCGCTTGGTTCCCACAGTCCTGGCACGTGGTCGTCGCCGAGGACGACGAAGCTAAACCGCCAAAGACGCCGATTCCTCCTCCGATAAGGTCGTTGTTCGTACCGGAGGCATTATGGAGGTGATGGTCGAGAGAAGACGACGGCGTTTTCTTCAAATAATGTTGCGTCGATTGGTGATTCTGCTGCCATAGCTGAATCCCTCCGCCTCTGCTACCACTCCGACTACCCAAGAGATTATCCTCCTCAACGCCGAGGCAGGGGCCAGCAGTGAGAAGCGGAATAACACCGACGCCTACTCCGACACCGAGGGCGGTGGCGGAGTTAGAGACGGCAAGTGAATGATCATCAGAGATGAGATTAGGGTCGTGATGGTGAGGATTTGGATTAAAAGAGGCAGCCGGAGCGACAACATACACATCTCGTAACCCGACCATTCCCATCTCCGATCCGAGGCCATAATTGAGAGACCTCTGAGCAGCAGCCGCGGCGGACCACATAGGGGCAGGGGGTCCGGCAGGTGGCGCGACAGCAGGAGCGGCATTGAAGCCAAGAGAGAGGTCATCAGGGGGAGCGCGGCCGGCGGAGGAAGACGGAGCCGCCCAGTCAGCAAAAGCACCGGAATCAGAAGGTAACCTCCTTGTAGTAGCCACAACTGAAGGCGGATGGGTTTATATATGGAAAAACAAGATAAGAAATGATAAAAATAAATATAAAATTGAGATGGAAACAAAAGAAATTGGGAAAATGAGGGGAAAATATATACGGTTTGGGTTTGGGGTTTGAAGAAAAAGATTTGGGATCGTGGAACTCAATCTATGTAGGCGTTATATGGATGTGGGGTCTCTCTGAATTTCTAGCAGAGAGATTTTGTAGACAGAAAAAGGAGGGAAGAAGGGGGAGATTTTTTTCTTTGTTTTTTGTTTTTTGTTTTTTTTTTTTTTTTAGGGATTAAAAAGAAAAACAAAAGGCAAAATTAGCAGAGATGGGTTGGGTTCTTGGAGCCTTTTATAATCTTCATTCTCTTTTGTATTAAGCACCGGATGGAATGCTGCTGCTTCTGCTGTGCCGCTTCTGCTTCTGCTACTGCTTCTGCTACTGCTTCTGCTTCCTCTTCCGCTGCTCGCTGATTACTGCCACAGACTTTGGCTTTTTGGTGGAGCACAAAAAAAAGTGGAGTTTATGGGAGAGAGAGAGAGAGAGAGAGAGAGAGAAGAAGAAATGGGAGACTCTGCCGTTCATTTGATCTCCCCCGTCGTCATCTCCCTTTCTTCTCCACCTTCCATTTCTCTTCTTCTTTCTGTTTTTTTTTTTTTTTTTTTTTTTTTTTTTTTTTTGTTCTTAATCTCNACCCTTTTTCTCTCTCTCTCTCTCCCCAATAATAACACACAATTGTAGGGAGAGAAATAAAGCAGAGAGACAAGGTATAAACACTTTTGTTTATCATAATTTTTTACGTGTTTAAACACTTTTTAAATGATAATTATTTTAATTTTAATTTTTTGTTTTTCAAGATTATTATATTATCATTTTAAACATATATAATTATAAAAAATATATAGAAAATAAAAAGGCTAGAAATTCATTAAAAACGCCCCTAGACCTCTTGTATTATATTGCCTTCATAGGCGCGTGCTTCACGCTCTTCATCGACTCTCATAATGGAGCAGAGAGAGAAAAGGATGTCTGAGTAGAGCGGCTAAAGTCCTCCCAAATCCTTCTGCTTTGTCTATGGATTGGATTGTATTATTTGTCGGAAACCCTAGAATTTTTCTTTTTAATTATTGTCGGACTTTCTTTTCTTTTTTTTTTTTCTTTTTTTTCTCCCGCTCTTTTCAATTAATATTTTAAATTATTATTATATTTATTAATATTAACTAACCCATCAAAGATTATCCTTTCTTTATGATGGGTCCTTTTTCAGTAAATTGCTTATAATTTTTTTATTTTATTGTTTTTTTTTTTAGTTAAATCTATAAATTTAACACATCTATATCACGTTTTAAATTCTGAAGACGTAGGGTTTCTAACTTTCTATTTAAACTTTTTGTAATTTATTTGAACATTAAAATCAAAACAAGTAATACAAAAAACTATATTAAAAATATTAGTCCATAAGGGAAATGAACAATTTGTCAGAAATATTATACGGGAATCGCATTAGGGACATGAAATACTATATTATATGCATTAATTTAAATCAACATTTAAAAGTATAAAAATATTTTTTTTTTTTACCCTTAAAAGTACACTCTTAATTCATTAAAGTTATCCTTGTCCATACAATGGATGTAGCCTATTTGGGAAGAAATGATTTCACTCTCTCTTGCCTGAGTGGGATCATATAAAATTATAAAATAAAATATCTCGATAAACATGCAGCAATCCACGTCTTAAATTCAGTCCAAATTTTAGAATTTTGACTCGACTACGTTGCATACTTAATATATATTGTTTATATAATTGAACGTTTAGGTCTTTCTTCGATGTCTTACCCTCACTTACATGCTTCATTGAAAAATTCGTATACTTAATTTAAAAATAAAAAATTTATATGATTCTGATCGGTTTTACTCAAATTTGGTCTAGATTTATGAGAAAAAATTTTGTTTGTGTAATATAAAATTTTAGATTATGATTTTAGTCATGTAACATGACAAAAATAATATCTCATCGGATCCATCTAGTTTTAACAAATTATCGACAAATAAATAATTGCTATTCGAATCTAATTTATTGAAAAGTGGGCATGACTTGACTTATTGCTCATTTATTATCATAATGTAGCTTAAACAAATTATTGTATTTTTTTCCTTATATGTTACAGCTTCTTGTCCTTTTATTAAATTATTAAAAAATGTTTTAAAAATAAATGTTAATTCCGCAGAAATTTATTTAAATACTTTTTTTTTTTTCACTCGAAATTTGATTTTTAGGGACTTAATTAATGTGTGTGGATATAAAGTAAAATCATAAAACAAAAATAAAAATTGGCATGAGAGTAAATAGGGATTGTTGGAGGACGTGAAAGAGAAAGCTGAAAAGCTCTAATGGCCTTAGCCGCACCTTTCGGCCCTTCGGCTTGGCGTTGGGGCCACGAATCTTCATCTTCACCAAGTACTTCTCCCCTTTATTCTCGCTTCTCATCCTCATTTAATTACACATCTTTAAAATCATTAAAAAAAAAAACCCTTTTTTTAATTTATTTTTATTTTTTTATTAAATTAAAAAATAGCCTCCTTCTTTTTCTTTTTGTATTAATCTCTATACTTTTAAAATATTTAAATTTTAAACTTTTACTCACTTTAGCTATATAATTTTAAAACATCCCTTTTAGTTAGTGATATTTTTTTATTTGGATCAAAATTTAAGTATAACACTTCATTCATTACCTTTATTAAAATATAGCAATAAAGTTGTGTCCACGACGTAAAAATTTGTATTGAAATTTTAACGATAGAGATCAAATTAGTCAATTTTTTAAAGTATAATGATCCAAATGAACGATTTGAACATTATTAAAAACGTTCATTTAGTTTCTTTTATACTATAAACTATTTTTTAAAAAAATTGGATTACATCTTTCGATCATTAGTGAATGAAAAACTTTAATTATGCTAACGTTTATCATTTTCATTTCTATTTTTACTATTGAATGCACAAAAGAAATGTCCTTCCTTCCCTTTCAAACATATACACGGAGCATCTTTAACTTTTTTTTTTTCTTTTAGGATATGGTCTGATTCTTAATTTCTCATCACAGTAATTTTGCATTATAAAATTAAACCAAAGTTTGAAAATGGTTTTTTTTTTCAAACTTTAATCGAACTTTTAAATCTATGTCACTTATCATGAACTAGGATAAACGTTTTAAATTATATATGTTGTTATGTGATAATATATATTATCATCTGAGCATGTAACATCAAATTTCACAAACTTTAATATTAAACAATTAATTAACGGCAAATTACAAATAATTTAATTATTTTATTTTTCTTGAGCTTGAAATTTAAACGAATGGATTCATACACAAATCATTAGTGAATCGAGCTTGAGTAAAAAATAAGAATAATGAAAAAAAAAATTGTTTGGAACATTATATTATAAGAAATGTGTTGATGTTTGACCATTTAAACTATGCGTAGACGAATCACAAAATTGATATACTTCGAATCACCACTTTTTTATACACACGTAGGCGAATTGAATTGCGTGTAGAATTTTGAATGTGGTCGTTTTCAAAAGATTCCGATATGAACGAGTGCCAACTCTCGAACGAGGTACCAAAATAAAAGTTTGGACATATTTTTGGTGCAATTTTGGGAGGAGTGGTCCATTTTAGGGTGGGTTTTGAGACTTTTTATTTTGATATAAATAGCTGTGTTTTAAGCAATGGTAATGCTTATGGGTATTGGTTCTCTATCATTTGCCATTTTTAGCATTCATCCATCCACTACCCATTTTCTCCTATTTGTATCATTACGTATTCTTTAAAAGTCAACTTTGCTTTAACAATCCTCCTCCCTCTACTTCTAAGTCTTTAATTATAACACCAATTGGCTTCACTTTTCAAAAGGATGCTCCTCTACTAAGAGTCGTTTATTAAATTTGTCATTAAAAAGTGCATTTTACACACGCATATTGGATAAAAATTTGTAAACATTAACGATGATTTAAGGTTTGTGAAGCAAATGTGATGAGTTAATGTAACATTCCAACCCCATTATTAGTAGATATTGTTTGTTTTGACCCGTTATGTATCGCCGTCAATTTCGCTATTTTAAAATGTATCTATTAGGAAGAGTTTTTCATACCCTTATACAAAGTGATTCGTTCCACTCTTCAATTCGGTTATTTACGGTCAATTTGCTAACATCCAAAAATATTAATGAAAGATTCTTTTTTGGTGCGGTTTGACTTTTGATAAATTATTTAATCGTTTGTATTTACTTATTATTTTAACCTAATACTTATTTAGTGTTTTTTTTTTTAGTAAATTGCAAGTTGTAAAATATGGTAAAAAAAATGTTGATATATATTTTAATAAAAATCATATTTAAATGTAGAAAATAATAAAGTAAGAGAAGCTAGGGGAAAAGTGCCCCATTTATGTGTGGGTTCGAGACGGTGTGCATTTCCAATGCGTGTCCGTACAGAGAAGGAAAAAGTGCCCCATTTATGTGATTTATATTTTTAAAAATGAACTGTAAAGTATATAACCATATCTTAAAAATAAATAGAATATATAACGACATGATTCTGTTTAATATTTTAAGCGAATCCACTTTTGTAATTACTTGATTAAAAATAAAGAAATTATTGCTTGAAAAAATCTTCATGCATTCGCCTTAATTACTACTCTATCTGCCGCAGGTTTTCCAACTTTTATGCCATTATATTATTAATATAAAATAATTCCACCATTATTATTAATATAATATAATATAATGGTTTGTTTAACGTGAAATAATAATAATTTTTCTTCAATAACTACAATTTATTATTATTATTTTTTCAAATATCTAACTTTAGTATATATCGATAAATCCTAAAATAAATATAAATAAACATTTAAAAACAACGGTGTTTGTGTTTAACAGCTGTAGTGGCATGGTTCTATTTTTGGACGAAGAATAATTAGTAATAATTTATAAAGCCATTCCATTAATTTTTAATTTTATTTTTTTGTTATTTATTGTCCACTTAGAAAGCCACGGATTAATAATACTAATTAATAAATATTACCTCCTGGACCCCACAAACAAAATTCCGAAGTCCTTGTGTAATTGTGCATGACAGTTTTTTCTAACAAAAATAAAAAATATATTTAATTGTTTTCTCACTATTTAATAAATCAAAACTTTAAATAGAAACTATAATATTAATACCTATTTTAAAAAATAAATTGATACTGATACCTAGCTTAAACATTATGTCGGTCTGTCTTTTTTAATTTCGGAATATTTAATTTTTGCACTTTCTATCATCCTAGTCATGCAGTAACCATAAATTTTAAATTTAGTTGATATTAAATTTTTTTTTTATGGTTTTTTTATAAAAATAAAAGCATTTTCATTATACATTTTTAAAATAATTTTTTATGATTTTTTTTTTCATGAAAATGATTATTATTATTTAAATAATTTGAGTAAAGAGTAAATTAGAAAAAGTGAAGAATAATAAATGGATCCAACGTTAAGATTGATAGAAATTGAAATTTGTTATTTATTTAATTTAGGTAATTAAAGAAAAATGGAATTGTCCCAATCTCCCATAAAACAAAACAAAAGATAACGAAATAAGAATAAGTCCAATAATTGGTTCCCATTTTTCACTTAGAATAATCCGAATTAAATGAATAAAAAAAACGTGGAATTTAAAAAGAAAGAAGAAGAAAAGGGAAAGCGGCGGTCTCAGAATCATCAGTGATCAGAGCACCATAAATCTCCCTTCCGGCTCACTCAATATCTGGAGCAATTGAGTCACACGCGCGGAAGGAAAGAAAGGAGATGTATCGCACGCGCTGGTGAGGAGAAGGATGAGAAAAAAGGAATGGTGGGGAGAGAATAGAGTGCGAGCGAGTGTAGAATAAGGGGAGGAAGTGAGAGGGTGGGACACGTAGTCGGCCTCGAGCCCTGCAAACCGACCTTGCCCCCCACCCCCCGCGAGGCGAGATCTTCATCCCAATTCCCGTACCATTTTGTTTTTTCCCACGCGCTTATGGGGGATCGTGGGTCCCACTGTCTTTTCTTCCTTCCATATTTTGCGTGAAACAATGACTGCCATAAAGTGAAGCCTACGCTAACTTAAAACCCTCGATTATCGCCATTCCCCTACTCGCTTCTATCTATGTTTTTATGTTCTTTCTTTCCTTTTTATTCAATTTTTTTTTTCTCTTCATAATTTATTCAAATTCCCTTTTTAAGTTTGCTACACTCTTTCTTTCATGTCCTTTTGCTTTTTAACATGTTTAATATATATATATATATCTTAAAAATATTAACGAAGTATTTTTTATTTAAACATTAAATTTAAAATACTTAATAAGCGTCCAGATAATAGTATATTTTTTAAATAAATGTTTAAATTGTTTTTTTATAACTTATTTTGTTAATATTTTAAATGTTGTGCTTTGAATTTTTTTTAATCACATTAAAAAAAAATTATAACTTTAAAAGATTAGGGACAAAATTTTTTAAAAAATGTCTTTAATATTAAGACCTAAATCATATATTAATAATTTATTTTGTTTATGCATTTAGCTCAAATTTTTAATTTTATTTTCTTTGGAGCTAATAAATTGAAAAAAAATGGGTTGAGCCTCAACGATAACTTGCCTAATTTCAATCAACGAAATATTTATAGTTTTATCCGATACTTAAATTATTATTATTAGTATTATTTATTCATATAATAGGATAAGTTAGGAATGAATGTATACTTTTAACTTTAGTTTTGTTGCAATAATTTAAATGTATTGATTTAGAAAAACATTTAAATTATCCAGAATAAAAAATAAATAAGCTGTGGGAAATAAAATGTTCAGTTTTATTTTGATAATTAATTTAAAAGTGATTGATAATGAAATTCTATTTTGATAAAACTTGGATTTTCTTTTTTCCTTTAGAAAAAACTTGTAATTACAGTAGCTGGTAGGTTAGTGAAAAGGAAACCCTAGAGTGCAGAAGGGAGGCAGTAGGGTTTTGAAGGAATGTGACACGTGGCGTAATATTAGTGGTGGTTCAGAAAATAGAATGGTCACGGACGGTAGCTCCAGATCTGAGATATTTTTCTTTGTTCACGATCCCCTATGCTTAATTTAAATCAGCCTACATTCTTCTCAAAGTCCTCGTCTCTTTTTCTATATTCCCGTTTTTCTTTTAATTTAATTTAGGTGAAATCATCCATTACTCCGCAAATTCCCAGAAATATTTGATGGGCTCAGGCCCATCAATGGCTTCCACTCTATAAAAGCCCAATAATAGGCCTGCTTCTGATAAAACTGGCCCAACGACGAGCTGCCAACACGTGTTAATGGATCGTGTGAGTTTTATATCGGTCGGGCTTGCCCAACAGAGGCCCAAATTGGAAATGAACAAATTTACGAAATTGTCCTTTCAAAACTGCACTGAAAAGGATCGTTGTGGGTCCCATTTAAAGCTATATAGTTTGTATTTGCATAGCAGCCCCCTACATTTCCAAAAATTGCAATACTTTCGGTATTTGGAAGCCCCAGGTGAAGTAACCCAACCCCAAAATTCAATGGGTTCTCATTGGAAACTACATTCAAACGAGATTGATGATGAGTATATGAAGTTATATACTAGCAAAATGTAGTTGAATCTTATGAACTTAAATCATGCTACAAAAACTCGATCAAAAATCTGTCTTAGATCAAAATTAATACTCTTGTAGTTTATTTGGCATCAGTGAGAGTTGGAGCTTTGATGGTAAACTCACCCTATCTTTACCTACTCACCACTTCCCTTCTTCATATGTTAAATTATCATGTCATCATGTCAATTTTACTCAATAACCAATTACAAATAAATTTCAAAACACGAGAATCGAAACTATAATATTGAAAATATATGTTTGTTCATATCAATGTTTTTTTTTTTCCAATAAATTGTTCGTATCAATGTTATGAAACGAAGAAATTAAAAGAATCAAGAACTAAAAAAAAACTTAATTTATGATTAAAGGTTTTCAATTTGGATGTCAACATTTAAGGATGAGACGAAATGTGAGAGACAGCCGAAACAGATGAATTTGATAAGAAACTGGGAATTGGAATCGGAATCGGGCGTGGCTGAAGAGTCGAGGAACATTTGGTCGTCGCTATTTTTCCCATTTAAAAAATTTGGTTTTCCTGCAGAAGATACTCGTAGGAGTGATACCAGAGGGGGAGATAAACATGAGAAAAGAGCCAAAATTGGATCTAATTCCGAGCAAAACAAAAAATTTAACTGTAAATAGTTATTGCAACAAGAAACCCAATACGCAAAATCCAAAGAGATTTCTTGCCTCTTCTTCTTCACCTTCATAAAAAGAAATCCCCCACTTTTTTCTATTTGGGTTTGGTTTGGTTTTTTTTTTTTTTTTTTTTTTTTTTTTTTTTTTTTTTTTTTTTTTAATTATGTGTTTACATCATCTATTTGTGTTTCATTTTTCTACAATGGTGTATAACTTGCAAATTTATTTCAGTTTTGTCCTTGAAATTTTTCTATAAAATCTAGACTTTGATAATAAGGTTGACCTCAATGTTTTATTCTTCAATAACAATTTTAATATTTTATTCAAATGTACTCATTTTAATATTAAATGTTTCCAAATATTTCCCAACTTAAATGATTAACAGACATTTTGTTAGGGTATATTACAATAAGCACATAACTTATGTAGAAAAGAAAAGATTTGATGTGAAGTAAAACAAAGGTGATGGATTTGTCTAAAGACTCCATGGATGAATGAGCTCGAATACGTTTGTTATGCCATTATTTAAAGAAAAATCTTTTAATCTACACGCCAAATGCAGTGTGCATAGTTGTATTCAGTGAAGTCAACATTTTGACTTTCTCCATTTTAATTCAACAATTAATTTGAATAATTAATTTAAAATTAAAGTAATATTAAATGATCAATTAAACTATTTTCATACCAGATTTGAACCGGTAATAGGAGGATTTTCAGTCCCCTGCTCTACTAACTGATAACTGAGCTATACTGGCCATTTCCTTTCCTTCACATTAGACGTATTTATTTTCAATAGCGGATTTGAACCAGTAATAGGAGGATTTTGAGTCCCCTACTCTACTAACTGATAACTGAGCGATACCGGCCATTTCCTACAAATTATCCTTATTGTCAATAGCATATTTGAGCCGGTAATACGAGGATTTTCAGTCCCCCGCTCTACTAACTGATAACTGAGCGATACCGGCCATTTTCGACACATTAGACGTATTTATTTTCAATAGCAGATTCNTGAATTTATGCTACCCATCTCGCATTGTCTTACGCTTCAATCTTCTTAACTTGATGGGTTCCTCCTTTTGGGTCAATAGATGCCAAAACAAGCAGTAGCACACAGCAGAGGAGGACACAGACCCAAGAATCTTTCGCCATGGAACAAGGTATTCCCTCTTCTCCTCAGATCGTCTAATTTCCTAATGCCTTTCTTCGATTTGGATTTGGTTTTGCGTCGGGTCGGTTCCGTTTAGGCATCTATCCATCCTCGTGTTCATAATTTTGATTCTGTGCCAATAGTTTTGAGTTTCCGGTCCGATCAATCGGATGAACAGCCAAATAGAAACTCGATTTTGGTTCTGTGCCTTTTTCTCTTTTGGGTTTTGTCTGTCGTTTTCCAGAGCTTTGATTCTCTGGTAATGGTAATGCCCCACCTGAGTTTGAGGTAGCTGGTTTTTTTTCAGTGATTTGTTGTTTTGTCTTGAACTCAGAGTTGGGTAATGCTATGCATTCGGAGGAGAACAAAGATTCGACCGAGAAGAACAAGAAACGGAAGCTGAAGACACCAACCCAGTTGATTGCTTTAGAGAAGTTCTACAATGGTAAGAGTTTATCCTTTTGTAAATTCCTTCATTAGCTTCTTTGTAATCTGAAAAGAAGGGTTTAATGCCAATTCCAGACCATAAGTATCCGACCGAGGAAATGAAATCACAGCTTGCAGAGCAGCTAGGCTTGACTGAAAAGCAAATATCTGGATGGTTTTGCCACAGAAGATTAAAAGACAAACGATTTTGTGAAACATATACGAGCGTTCGACAGGATCGTTCCAGTGGTGTTATTCAAGATCATGGCAGTGGACTTGCACAAGATTCATGTGGTAGCACCAAAAATGGAGACTATTGGCACGTTGATCCACGTGAAGTCGAGAGTCAAAAGCCTTACGGTCGTGAGCTAGCTACGGATAATGTTCTTGAGCGTAGGAGTCACTATGCAGAAAATGTTAGTAATATGGAAAATACATCTTCGGAAAGCAGCTCGTCTTTAAAAGATAGGTTATTATCTCAAAGTGAGAATCCATATGATACAGAAGTTTCTCAGTATTTAACACATGACAGCGCTTTTCCACCGTCGAATCCAAAGGCTTTAAACTCGCTGCGATACAAACCGTCTGGCTATTTAAAAGTGAAGGGGGAAGCTGAAAATGCTGCTATTACTGCTGTTAAGAGACAGTTGGGCGTGCAATATCGGGAGGATGGTCCTTCACTTGGCGTTGAATTCCAGCCACTTCCGCCTGGTGCATTCGAGTCCCAAGCTAAAGGTCCAATCCATGGTAAACAATAGAACGTGTCTCGATGTCGAGAATGTTCCTATTTTTCATAGTAGCCTCTTATATAGCATATGAATTTACTCTTGTAAATGAAAATGTTTTCACCTATTGTTTTGCTCAATAAAAACTATATTTACTTACTATCTTGTGCCCTCCAAGAATATTCATTGTTTACCAAATATCATGTTTTTCCTGTTGTATTAGTCATTTGATATAGTGAAATCGGTCATGCATAATAGGGCTCTGAATACCTTTTTCATTTTCGCCACCCATTGCTAAAGGTTTTAAATCTAAAGAACCTGCAGCAGTATCACGATTCGGTGACGTTGCAATCTTTTCAGGTTACTATATTTCTTGTTCAATTATTTTCCATCTCTTACACGGGATGGCGAGTACTCGGTCGAGAATATTAGAATTGTTAGGTACTCTTAGTTTAAGTTCTTCGTCGAATGCAGAATCTGTCATGCCGTACAGTACGATGATTTTTATTCAACTGCTAGAACAAGCTTTCATTGAGCATCATACCTATTTTTTGATGGATACTTCACAGATTCATACTATGTCGGAAATGCACTACTTCCTCGTTCTCCAGACACGTTGACGATGAAGAAACAACGAGCTCTCGTCTCGGTAAGTGAACCTAAATTACGGCTTTCTTAAAAAGCTATTTTATTGTGGTTTTTGTTCTTCTAACATTTTCTTGCTCTATAGAGGTATGAAGTGCTTAGTTCAAATATGAGTTCTCAGGACTCATATATGGAGGAAGCAGCCCCCACTGGCATTACCTGTAGACCTGAGTGTCAGGAAAATAATTCTATTTACCCTTTAAAGAAAAGTTCCAACTATTACAACAAAACCGAGCCGTTTCCCCGCCAGAACTCTCCCTTGAATATGTACGAGGAATCCGGTGGGTTGACACTTTCTAGTAGTAGTAAAAGGGATCACCGAATGAACTCGGACTATAACGTTCCTAGAAGTAGGACGGGCTCTGTTTCCAACAACCATGGCTCCTACTCTTCGAAAGTTGCTAGTGAACAGACAGAGATGCCGTTGCATAACCGTGGCAGTGTTGGCTCGAAGAGTTTTTGTAGGAGTGGTTATTTGGACTATAATCCTAAAAAGATGCCAAAGGTTTGTACTTCATACCCTTTTATTGAATGTTCTTGAATTATTCTAATTCTTTTGTGCTTATATAGGAAATGTTCAATGGAGAAGAGAAGGCAGTAAATGAAAGTAGTGATCCAGTTAGAGGGAAGATCCCACCAACAAATGAGTTGACTGTGAGTTCAAGTGGTGTCATGTTTTGCATAATGTAATACTATTGTGGTTTCTTGCTTAAACTTCCCCTACTCGTATATCTAGGTTGCATATCGATGTCCGTTGGATTTACCTCGGTCAGGCTATGCAGCTAAAGCGTCATTTTCTGAAAAACCTGGGCGGAAAAATCATACTAGCAGGTCAGCATACACGTCCTTGATCTGGTTTCTTCACTTTTAATATGGTTAAAATTGCTGCATATATGTAATGGCCCAAGCTCAACGCTAGCATATATTTTCTTGTTTGAGCTTTTCCATATCCTTATAAAGAATGTTTCTTTCTCCCCAACCGATGTGGGATCTCACAATCCATCTCTCTTCGGGGCCAGCGTTCTTGCTGGCACACCGCCTTGTGTCCACACCCTTTGAGGCTCGACCTCCTCGTTGGCACATCGCCCGGTGTCTGGCTCTGATACCATTTGTAATGGTCGAAGCCCATGGGATCTCACAATATATTTCCTGGTACTGTAAACATGAGCGCATTTCCTTGGGAGATTTTCAGTGAGCTATATAATTAACAGCAGCCCATGTCATGTAGGTCCACAATGGAGATGCCATACAGCTTCACCGTTGACGAAGCTGAAGATACCAGCTCATCGTTAGATTGAGTAACGGTAGAGGCTCGACAAGGTCGTCTGATTCGGGTACATAATTTGGAGTTATTGTAAATTGGGTAGCAATGTTAGTGAGTTGCAGCAAACCTTAGGCAGATTCTGGCTGTCAGGTTCTCTCCCTCTCCTCTCCTCTCCTCTCCTCTCGTGTGTATAAGTACAAAGCCTGCATGTTTTTGTTTTTGTTTTTGTGCATGGATGTTGGATCTCGTATCGGGTCAGGTCACGTCGATTTGTACTGCTGTAATTTTGTTTGATTGACAGAGAAGCGTCGTCGACAATGTATTATAACTGCACTGTTCATTTACGACTCAATATGTTTGATTCAAGGCGCTGTTTCAAAGTGTTAACATTAATTGTGAAAACAGCTTACTTATCTACCAAGCATTTGAAGGATTTCTGAGCCACACATCTTGAATTATGTTATGTTGTCTTGAAGTGGTTCTAGTGATGATGCTGTTCTGAAACAATGCAAGCCAAAACAGTCTCTCTGAATGCTTCAATCACCAAATTTGTTAGCACTTGGAATTGGAACTATCCCGTTTCGATCTCGATCTTATCGATCTTAATCATTGAAATGTATGATTTCGTTTGAAACTATCATTGAAATTGTCGACCTCTACACGTCCCTGCACATGAATTTCCCTTCAAAATCTGCTGAATTCTTGCGTGTATTGTTGTTTTCAATGAGTCGAAAGAGATATTTGTTGTCTCGAATTATTATTTAACAGCTGGGGTTCTCCTCGCAACCAACACGAGATCACATGAACCACTCATTAGCTCGGGTATGGGGGAGATGGTAAAAAAGAAGGGTTGGAAAAGGTTGCAGAGATAAATGAATGATGTAGAAGAAGATGGAATAGAAAAGGGGGTGGCTTTTGTTTGTGCGATCATGTGGGTGGGGGTGGTGGGTTGCAATTGGAGGGGCCTGCCTTAGCCTCTCAATTTGTTTGATAAGCACATTTCAGAGAAAGAAAGAAGAGTTTTGAGTTTGTAGGGCTTCATTTACAACTGAGGAATCAAAACCATTCAATGTAAGGGCTTCATTTACAGCTCCAGATTTAGAATTTTTAAAAAGCTTAGAGTTTTGGACCACTTCGAAAAAGGAACTTACAAATCACTTGTGCCCTCCATCACTCTCACACCCCACTTTTCCAAAAAGTGTACCCTCCTCTTCATTCCTTTTAATAATTTATTTTAATAATTTATTTTGTCTACTGAGTTATGTTTAAATTGGTCTCTTTATTCTCCCACTTTTACCTACCATTTCTATTATATAGTATGACTTTTGGAATGAGAAAGAAAATACCTTTTAAATACTTTATGTGTTTGGTTATATAATCCAAATTGATTTTTTAAATCCTTCAAAAAAAAAAAAAAAAAGTTTTGCCATGCATTTTGTTAATCCCACAAGCGAGTTTTTTTTTATTTTTTTATATTTTTTGGTTTGAAATTCATTTGTCTTATTTTACAAATCATAAACTCGAGCACTATAGACCTTTTAACCTTATTCTTCCCTGTAATATTAATACAAATCCAATAACTTTCAATTTTGTTTATAGTTAAAAGTTTCTATTTTGCATTAAGAATATAAAATTGAAAATTTATGTCCTACTAAACATTTAATTTTATGTACGTAAGTTCATGATTTAGAAAACATGGAATAACCAAAAAAAAAAATGATGATCTATTTGAAAATTGGACACGTGTGAAGATCCAACCGACGAAGTGAGAGAAAATGGAAAGGGCAAATGTCAGCATCGAAATTTGACAAAGTATCGTGGGCATTGTCACATATCATATAAACTTTTTTTTTTCTTTCATTAATATTTGCATTCCAATTTTCATTTTATACTATTTTATCCAACAAATAAAACTATAGTGAGTTCCAAAAAACAAATAATACTATTATTAGCCATGATTCAATATAACGGTTGTAATACAATGTTATATATATATATATATTAAAACTCTACGTTTCATATTAATGTAACCTTTAAAATTTTATGTAAGTTTGTCTTTAAATATTAATTTAATTTAATGTTATTAAAGTTTCTTAAGCTCGTTAAAAACTCATCATTATTAACAAATATATACAAGTATGAGTAGAAAAATGACATTTAATTCTTTTATCATTACTTAAAATGTACTTAAGAGTTAATAATGTTAAAAATGATGACAAATAACAAATTATAGCTAAATTATAATTCGAATTTGAAAATTTTCATTTTTACCCTTCAAGTTTGAAGTTTTTTCAAAACAACCCGGAAGGCTTTTTCGATTAATTTAATGAATAAACTCCACAAATAAAAATGATTATAAAAGAAAAAACAAAACAAGACGACAGTAAATATGATTGATAGAAATGTCACGCATCCTTAATTTTTTCATGAACGTGTTTATATTTATTTTGTTGGATTAGATACACACTTTTTCATCTATAAATTTAATCGCATGCAAAGAAAGGTTAGATTATATTTTTAACTACAATTTTTTATTTTTTTTTGATAATTTAACATTCATTCTATTCGTCCTCCTCTTCACTCTGTCATTCTCTCTCCTCGACTTTCTGGTCTCTCTTTCTCTCTCTTCCCTGCAACTCCGAATCAGATCATAGTTTCCAGGTTTCTTTCACTTTCTTGCACTTTCACGCTCAGGTGGTGCTTCAGTTCTCATACAGTCAGAGGTATAACTTAAACTTTTGCGGCCTGTTCACGCGAATCTGTGGAGGTTCACCTCTTTTGCTGCCCATTTCGATTGTTTAAACCTAGCTGTTATATTCTCCAGTCAAGTCATTGAAGCAGCCGCCTGCCTAAGTCAATTCAGCGAAGTTATTCAAGAATTTGCAGCTATAGTGCTTCATAGACGGCGCAGTTTCAGAGCGGTGGCTGGATGAATCGGACGGGAGCTGTGTAGTTGAGTTGAGATGGAGGATTTTAGTGTTGTAGATTGGAAGTGCTCGTTGAATTTGAGTTTTAGGTGTAGATTGAGCGGCTTCTCGCAAGAACTGGTCAATGGAGGCGATTGGTTTTGAGAATGGGTGAGTTAAGGTCGAGTCTTCAGATTTGAGGGTTCAAGTGGGGGAAAATTTGATGTCGAGGATGGATAGAATGACTTCAGATCTTAATAGGAATGGTCCGGTGGAAAGGGATATCGAGCAGGTGCTCTCATCCATTTTCTTCTCTTTTATATCCTTATATTACTCAAACGTATGTTGTCCATGATTTGCTTGTTTATAACATTTACTGCCATGTTTCTATCAAATCACTGCAACAAGCGTATAAATGAAGCAGTGGAATTTTTCCCGGTATCGTTTTGCACTGCCGTCGCTGTCACTCGCATGTCTAGTCTCATATTCAGTGCACACGAGTGCCGTTTGAACTGCGATGCAGCCATCAGAAATTGAATTGGAATATTGTTATTATTTTTTTTTATGAATTTCTGGAGGCAAGTTTGATTTACTTAGCGGGATGTGACGAGTAAATTAATTAGTTGAAGGTTTTTGTGTGCTGAATTTGATGGCTGTTTTATGGACAGCTACACTTTCCAAATTCTAATGAAGCAATTCACCGTTGGTAAAATAATTATACCGGTGGAAGATTCCATACGATCTGTCGATGTATGTTTTCAAAAATTTCTTAGACAAACCGAAGGATGCATCCTACACCCACTCTCGTTGGTCTAGAATGAACTAGGCTACCTTCTTGTAGAATGACAATGGTTGAAGATGAATCTAGAAGAACCATCACTTCCCTTCTCAACACTGATGCCCTGAATCTAAATTTAATTCATAGGATAGGATCAAGTTAGTTAGTTCTTATGTTTTAATTTTCGCGAGCAATCATTGTAAAGGAATCAAGTTGTGATTCCTTTCCTGTGTTGTATGTTCATTTATCGATCCAAATAGCCAAATGGATTCCAAAGATTAGCCGTTGTAGCCAATAATGTCAATTGGCAACATTTCAGGGTATTGAATAAGTGCAACATGGTATTTGAGACTGTAGAGAGGAAAATGGAAATCATGAGGAATAATACTTTTTCAGTTTTGATCTTTAGTAATTGTCGAATGACCATCCAATTTCTTTTCTGGTATCTGTCGCATCTATATTTCCACGAGTTGATAGCCAAACTTCTGGAAGGCGCGTAGTTGGCCTCCACATGCATATAGTATGTAATATATTTTTTTTGTTTTGCATATTTCAGTCCATTATTGCTCTAAAGAAGGGAGCTTATCTGCTGAAGTATGGAAGGAGGGGAAAACCAAAATTCTGTCCTTTCCGGCTTTCCAATGTAAGTCTGGTTCTGTTGTAATTGTTGTTGCATTTGTTCAGAAATTACACTTTTTTAATAGCCATTATTGTTGTACGCATGATACTAACTTCTGATGGGATAAGCTTAGTTGTAATGCCATAACGGTGCACAAACTTTTCTCAATGAGATCATCGTATGAAAATTGTTTACTTGGGTAACATATCATCTTAAAGTAAGGGATATCCAAGTCCAGCTGCATAACATGGTATTCTCCCCCAAAATTTGTCGAATTTATTTTCTAGTTGAGTTGGATAGAAAAGATGAGCAGGTAATTTGCCGTGTTTTAGATCCTAACGTATTGAGTCAATATCAAACTTTTATCACTCTTTTCTTTTACTTTGGTTGTTGATGGAGCTCTATACTATGATTCCTTCTCTTCTTGATCTTAGTTGCATGGGGCAGTGTCATAAGAACTGAAAGTGATTGGCGGTGTTTTATGTTTCAGGATGAGTCTGTTCTGATTTGGTTTTCAGGGAAAGAGGAGAAACACCTTAAGCTAAGCCATGTTTCTAGAATAATATCTGGGCAACGCACTGTAAGTACCATTTTTTAAATATTTGATTTCTTTAATACCTATGCTTTTTCTCCCCTGCCTTTGTGGCTATATCCACATTGATTTGCATGCAATGTGATATTAAGATAATTATCAAGGAACCGTGGTAATGTTTATGACTGAACTTTAGAGATATACTGAAGAGTCACAACTGAAAAGGTAACTGCTTACATTGTTTGTGGTCTATTTATGAAGTTAAGAATTTGATGGATTTTGAAACTTTAAGTTGCTTGCACGTCATCTATGTTAAATCTTTCCTTGAAGGTACACGTGTTGGGTTATAACCAAGAAAAAGTAGAGAATAACAGAAATACTAAGGAAAGATATTTAATGTACATCTCCTTTTAAAGTGTCTATGTTAACATTGCTTTACTATTCAATCTCTGTATAGGTTCATGATACAGCGTCCTTGGAAGAACTACCTTGAGCACATAAGTTTAGTCTGTATTGGTTTTTTTTCCTCCACATAAAAAGAGAAGTAGTAAT